GGGTGCGGCTTGTGAGGTTGAGGAGAGATGGACGATTGTTGGTCGTTTCTTGACGTCCAAGTTAGTGAAAGTTGAGTTCATGCGGCAGGTCATGGCATCCGTATGGAAACTGATAAGGGGTGTTCAGGTCTCTGAGCTGCAAACCAACCTTTTCTTGTTCGTGTTCGGTCATAAGACTAATATGGAACGTGTGCTAGAGGAGGGTCTGTGGTCCTTTGATAATTTCACATTGGTTTGTAGGCAAGTCAAGGATGGGGTTATGCCAGGACAGGTGGTGTTGGATTCTATGGACATGTGGGTTCAGTGTCATGACCTCCCTATGGGTTATACGTCTGAGGTCATACTTGAGCAGATTGAGAATTTTCTAGGTACTTTTATCCGTTGTGATGACCAGTTTGTAGGGGCCCCTTGGAGGACTTTTTATCATATTTGGGTCTCGGTGCCAGTGTTAAGGCCCATAAGGTGGCGTATGAAACTCTTAAAACATGAGAAGTCTACTTGTTGGGTGTCGTTCAAGTACGAGAGGTTGCATACATTCTGCTTTTTCTGTGGCATGATGGGACATGTTCATAAGTTATGTTTGAAGGCCCGAGATTCTCTGCTCCCGGTTGAACTATACCCTTATGGGGAGGGACTTCGGGCGGGTGGCGGGTTTGGCCCTCAGGCGGTGGGCGACCCTTGGCTCATTCCAGTTACAGGGCCGCAAGACGAGGGAGGTGAGGTAGTCGGGGTGGGAGAGAAGTTTATCGAGGTAGAGACAGTGTCGGTTGAACGGCGTGAGGGGAGTCCGGTGGTGGTGGCAGCGTCGAAACGGCATAGGGAGGCTTCGGCCGTTGGCGGTAGGTGTGTGGGTGGTGGCGACAATGATGTAGCTATACCTGATCAGTCAAAAAACTTGTCCTTGGCGGGTTCTGGTTCACAGGCCCGCCCGTCATCATGAGTACTTTAAGCTGGAACTGTCGTGGCTTGGGTAATCCACGAACAATTCGTGAGATGGTGGACATGGTGTCCTGTAAGAAGCCCGATTTTGTGTTTTTGATGGAAACTAAGGTGAAACGTGATCATGTCAAACGATTGCGGGTCAAGCTTGGTTTTGAAGGAATGTTCTATGTTGACAGTGTGGGGTTGAGTGGAGGTTTGGCGCTACTATAACACCCCACATTTCTAAAATCTTATAATCAAATACTTAACTTAAAAATGATTGCTAACAAGCAATATAAAACTACTAAACATCAATAAGAGGTGTCACCGCCACAACCACCATACACGGTGATTGCACAGGCAAAGGAAAAACATGTAAACATGTCAAGTTTTACTAACATCAAAGAAACTAGGGGATAAAACCCCGGTGTCCAGCACCATCAAAAACCACTAGATAAGTCTACTACCAAGTCTCAAAACAACATAACTGATAAGAGTTTAGACTACAACTAGCAAACTAAGCTAATCTAGTCTGACTCGAACGCTCTCAAGAACGGGGCCCACCTGAAAGGGGTTAACAAACAAAACAAATAGAAAGCAACCCGTTAGCACGAAGCTAAGTATAACGACGTTCAACCTTGTAAAATACTACAGTATATACTTTTGGAAAACATTTACCAAATACACTTAGATCAAGTAACTTAATCAGTTTAACAATACTTTAACCTACTCACAACAAGTTCTAGATTCTTGCAACCTAGTTATCAAAAATAGGCATACATTCTCTATCATTTATCTCATCAACAAACTTATGTCAACAATATCTCAATGATCAGTCTTATGCCATCACATAACTCAATAAGCAATCTCATGCTATCATATAACTCAATAAGCAACCTCATGCTATCACATAACTCAATAAGCAATCTCATGCTATCATATAACTCAATAAGCAATCTCATGCTATCATATAACTCAATAAGCAACCTCATGCTATCATATAACTCAATAACCAATCTCATGCTATCATATAATATAAATGACAATATAAAGTCATGCTTCTTATCTCACTATCATGCAACACGTGCAATTAATTTAATCATGCAATAAAATGAACATGATGCTTTAGGTATAGGTATATAGATAGATATACATATATACTCGCACTTTTGTAAAAAGGAACACTTTTTCTGTAGAGGTTTCTTAGAGTCACAATGACTCGCTTTTTCTCTTCCTTCTTTCTAGAGTCTCAATGACTCGCTTTCTTTCTTTCTTTCTTTGTACTCGTGGGCGAGGTAGGAACTTCACCATAATGTGAACAGACCTATCCGGGCTCAGCATCTAGCCAGCCTAATACTCACCTCGCCCACAGAACCACTCTCTTGGTTCTTTTCTCAAACTCTGTGGAATCAGGTATTGAACTATCAGTGTGCACACCCCCTGACCAGGATTCCAACCCTGGCGGGAAGTTTCCAACCTAGTAACTCAGGAATATCGACCTCGTTACTTCATATCGGATCACAATGTCCGTTTCTTTCTTTCTCTTTTCTTCCGAAAAGACATAGTCCTAACGGGCCTCCAAAAACCTCGGATTACTCACACTAGATACATATAAATATAACTCATGCATTGCAAACTCATGCAACAACTTTACTTATGCAACTTATGCACATAGTTTCTCAACAACTTCTCTTTTCTCACGAATTGGAAATCAAATATCATGCAACTTCTCAATGCAACTAGATAATGATTTTCCCAAAATAGATATAAGTTTTTGAAATAATACTTAGGCTTATTTAGAGCCAATGATGCACTTTAAACACATGATATACGATACATGCTCTTTATTAACAGGAGTATCTCAAACTTCTTTTTGATTGTAAGTCAAGCATACAATATGCTACTACATGCTTACTACTTTAATACTTAGGAAAACTCCTTAGCAAACACTTAGCAAGTATGACACATGCTCTTTTACTCAAAATACACTTCATGAACTCATTCACTGTAAAATGAGAATCAATAAAACAAGCTCTATACATTTCATCATGTCTAAAATTTGGCAAGAATTCTCAACAAGTCATAATAGATATTTAGGCATGCTTTTCTAGCAAGACTTATCAAATATTGATCTAGCTTTTTACTCAAAGAATTAGGCTCATAGACTTCAAAATTTTATTCACTGGAAACAAAGCACAGCACATTTCTATAGCAAAACTCTACATACTTCTATTGTAAAATCCTCATTTCAACTCCAAATTTAACGAAATCAAATTCTACTAGTGCGTCGTGACGATCCCGAGTGTCCGAGCCTCAAGGGCCCGCGAGTCCCGGTTCGAACGACACGTAGCTGAGCCACAAAAGGCTCGGCTACTAGACTGTTTTAACCTGGCGGAGCTTGCGGCGGGGCTTGAGGAGGCCTGCCGCTTGGCTCCGCCAAGCAGCGGCTCAGGGCCACGGCCCTAACCATGGGTCGTGCCCCAAGGCCGCCTCTCCACAGCGCTCGCCAACGGCCCCTGCCTAGGACCGTTGGTTAGTCCCGTGAGCTTGTCTGGTGCACAAACAGTGTGCACCAGATAGCTTCTTCTTCACTTGTAAAAGCAAATTCAAGCAATCTAATACTCCCAAATCCTCAACAACACATCATAGTTTAACAATAGATCACTTAAAAGCTCAAACATAATAATAATCTAGCATTTCTAACATTTCATCTCATATTTAGACTTCACAGAGTCTGTTAAAGCTAAGAGGGAGTCCATGGGGTTATACCTTTGTTGTTTCCTTCTCTTGTTGGGATTCATCCTTCTTCCCAAGTCAGCTACAACCTCCTTCACCTCCTAAATACCTCAAACAAACCACACAACCACCTTAAGACTAAGTTCTCAGAGATGTAAGCTAGGAAGAAAAGAAATGAAGATGAATGGATGAGATTTGCCTAGAAAACTTATTGTGTTTTCTTCTTTGTGTTTGCAAAGAGCTTGGTGGGGAAGACAAGGGTGGAATCAAGAGGCAGAGTCTGATAGCTTTCTAATTTATAGGGGCACTAAACCCTAGGAGAATCAACAATGATTGGTGGAGGGCAAAATGGTAAAAGCTTGGCTAAGAAATGTATCAAACAATGGGTTGGATGCTTGTGGTCCACCAAGCTTCATGGACCATGTCTAGATTTAGGATTGGAAAATAGTTTGGGGGTTAAAATGAATTTCCAAAAAAATGATTTCTAGATAAATACTTGGTTTAGGCTTCTCAGATTTCTCCTGGTTTCACTCAGAATAAATTTTCAGTTCAAAACATGGTACGCAATGTACCCGGGAATTTTGGATTTTTAGAAATGGATAACTTTCGGTGTTGAATTTATTTAAAAAGTCACACAAAATATTTATTCAAACACCGTGTTTATCGTAAAAATTTTGAAAGAGTGAAAAATGGCTATTTTGGATTTTCTTAAAATCGAATTTATAAAATTAAATTTTGCGTTGTCACAACTACTATGGAGGAAAAATAATACTGCTAGTCTTATTAGTTATTCGCGGAATCATGTGGACGTACAGGTGTGCTTGGATGGTATGGAGCCTTGGCGGATGACTTGTTATTATGGATTCCCGGAGAGGAGTAGGAGGCGGGAATCCTGGGACTTTATGCATCTTCTGGCTACCCATTCGCACCTTTCTTGGGTTGTTGTTGATGATTTCAATGATCTCCTATATCAATCTAAGAAGCGTGGAAGGGTGTCTCACCTAGAGAGCCTCCTTCGTGGTTTTGGGGAGACTCTTGATGGTTGTGGCATGTCTCAATTACCCACGGTTGGTTATCTGTTTACATAGGAGCGGGGTGGTGGTAGTGATGCCTGGGTGGAAGAGCGGTTGGATAGGCTGGTTGCAAGTACTAGTTGGCGTGGTTTGATGGAGGAGGCCAGAGTAGTGAATTTATTGACGTGAACATCTGACAATTCGACCCTTTTCCTTGGTCTTTCTGACCAAAGTGGATGAGTTGGGGGTGGGAAGCGTAGTTTTCGGTTCGAGATGGCCTGGCTGATGAATGGTGGGTGTAGAGGAGTGGTTGAGCAAGCATGGACTGAGAAGGGGAGTGGCGGATTGATGGATAGTGTGAGACTGACAGGTGATCGGCTCCAGGAGTGGGGGGTGGGGTGATCGTTTCCATTTATTTGGCAAGCAGATCAAACTGATGCGTGATAAATTGATGGCCTTGCGGGGTCACACGGATGAGGCTGGTCTGAATGAGTACCGAGCTATTGAGGCTGACTTGAGCCGCCTTGAGGCATAAGAAGATATCTATTGGAGGCAAAGAGCTAAGCAGCACTGGCTTCGGGGAGCTAATGCCAATACTAAATTCTGTCACAGGTATGCTTCCTCCCGTAAGCGTAAAAATACAATTCACAGATTAAAAGATTCTAATGGGGCGTGGACTAGTAAGAATGCTATGAATGTTGTGATTTTGGATTACTTTGTGGATATTTTTAAATCTAATGGCATGTCGGGTGGTGGGGAGGATTTCTTTGCTAATGTTCCGTCTAGAGTCTCACAATCTCATAATGACTTGCTTCTCTGTCCTTTTGAGGCGGATGAGGTTAAGGCGACCCTTTTCTCTATGTTTCCAGACAAGGCTCCTGGGCCGGATGGGATGAACCCGGGTTTTTACCAGCATTTCTGGGATGTGGTAGGGGATGATGTGACCTCCTTTGTGCTTGATTGTCTGAATTCTGGTGATTTCCCGGATGGGCTCAATGAAACTAATATTTTACTAATCCCCAAGAAAATAGTCCCTGAGATGGTGTCTGATTTAAGGCCTATTGCTATCTGTAATGTGGTGTATAAGATAATAGCTAAAGTGCTTGCCAATAGAATGAAACCCTTATTGGATGGAGTAATCTCAGAGTCCCAGAGTGCTTTTATCCCTGACAGGTTGATTACGGATAATATCCTTATTGCCGCAGAGGTGGGGCATTACTTGAATAAGAAGCAATGTGGCCAGGTTGGGTGGGGTGCATTGAAGATAGATATGGCTAAAGCTTATGACAAAATGGAGTGGTATTTTCTGCGTCGTATGGTTGTTGCCCTTGGTTTTGCTGATAGGTGGGTTCATTTGATTATGCTTTGCAGAAGGTCTGTCCCTCTTATTGTAGAATGTTCAGTCTTAGGGCTTGATTTATGGGTGTAGGGTGGCCAGAGGAGCCCCATCTATCTCTCATCTGTTTTTAGCAGATGATAGTCTACTATTCTTTAAAGCTAACTTGCAGAAACTGGTGTGGTGAAATAGTGCTTACAGACTTATTGTGACACCCCGTATTTTCCTAAAAATAAATTATAGTCCCGATATTAAATATTTTAATAAAAATATTTATATAGCTATTTATTTTAAAACGGGCTCGGGTCTACTTATTATGGTGAACCAATATTTTTGTACAAAATATGCCTAGACCCAAAATGGTTTTAATTCCTAAAAGCCTAGTAATTGTTCCTAAGCCCAAATATATGTGTAACCTATGAGTGAGTAATTTTGGACCCATCATCTACATCAAGCCTTTATAATATATATATATATATATATATATATATATATATATATATATATATATATATATATATATATGTGTGTGTGTGTGTGTGTGTGTGTGTGTGTGTGTGTGTGTGTGTGTGTGTGTGTGTGTGTGTGTGTGTGTGTGTGTTATTTTGTGAGCCCAAAGTGTTTAAACCCAACCTATGATACCCAACCCAAGCTTTTGACCCAAGTCTAACTTAGCCCACTCATTGAGTAACCCTACTACCTATAGTGTGAATGTGTGTGTTGTATCATCCCATTCTAGACTTCAACGTTCAGTAGCCAAACACCCTCCCTCACCCTCTCGGCTTTGGCGTGAACGAGCAACCGGCAACCCTTCCCTTCATGTCTCTCCTTCCATCGTCAACCACCGCCACTATGAAGCTTTGCCTTCCTTTCGTTACTCTCTTAGTCAGCAGCCAAGCACCTCTTTCATTTCTCCCTTCCTTCACCGAGACCAAACAACCCTCTTTTGTATATCTTGTCTCTCTCGGTCTTTGCTTCCCCCCCCCCCCCCAAGCCAAAGAAGATTAGATGCAACCTCCCTTCTCACCGGTCGAGTTCGAACCAGTAGAAACCCCGACACTAAGCAAGTCGATGATCAAGATCAGTGGCTGCACCGGCGATATAGTCCACCTCCGGTGGTGGGTTTCGGAGTGGTGTTGGCGGAAGACAAGCAGCAGCAGGTGTGGTAGCAGCTCCGATGTGAACCTCTGGCTTCGTGTGGGCTTTGGAGTTGTCATGGTGCAGCTTGGATGTTGAGGTGCTGGCGGGTGGTGACTTTGCCGTGGTTCCACCCGCGGCTTAGACAACTTGTAGAAGACGAAGAAGATGATGGATGGTGAGTTGCTTCTTTGCTTTGATGTTTAGTTTAGTATTAGGAGAATTTTTTTAAGTAAGGTTTCTAAGTGTAGCGTTGTCTGGTGGTTAGGCGGGTGGTTATATTAGTGAGTGAGCTAGGGTTCAATTTTTTATTTTGACTTAATTAGTTAAGCTTTAGTTATTAGTTTTACTTTAAGTCTTGGTTAATTGGATTATCATTAGTTTGTTAATGTTGTGATTAGGTTAACAAAAGTATATTTAGCTTAGATGGTTGAACTTAGGGTTAATTTTGAGATAAGTTAGGGTTCAAATCCCCTTAGTGGCTATTAATGTTTTAATAACTTGTTTTAATGAGTAAAGGACCGTTTGATTCACAGGTTCCCGGTAGCTTGGTTTTTGTGTTGAGCCTAGCCTATGTTGGCGTTGGTTTTGGTTGGATAAGCGAATGAGGTAACCCATGCTCTACAAAATCTATTTTGCTTACCTATATGATGATTTGTTGGATTCTACATATGATTTTGCTATGAAATGTGAGTGTTTATGCATTGTCTTGTGAAAATGCATATCTAGAGCTTGTATTTAGGGTTCTTGTATGCCATTGCTTGGCTATTCCTTTGATTCAAGTCATTTTGTTGTATTTGGTGAGATTTGGCATGTTTTGGACTTGAATTTGAGCTTGGTGTTGAAAATCCCCGAAGGGATTATTTTGGTGTACAGGTATGTACCCGCGGGCGGAACGGCGGGTAGTGCACCACCCGCCGCCCCACCCGTGGGGTACAAGGTGGCTTGTGGGTGTGTACCCGCGGGCGGAACCACGGGTGGGGGTCTACCCGTGGGTTCACCCGCGGGGAACCATGTTGGACCCGCGTGATTATTTTGACTCAGTATTGGTCTTTTGACTTCCCGAAGTTCTTTTGTGGAACTATTTGAGTGTCTTCTTGATGTTTCGTGTGTCTAGAACTATATGGTAGGAATCCATGTAGGTTTTGGTGTCTTGAATCGTGCTAAGTGTTCAACATTGTGATTCGTTGAACTATGATGAGTCTTGTGTGTTCCTCGGAAATATGTTTGGTTTACCCGTTTGATAAGTATGCTAGTTCGATGTTTAAATGCTAGCGTGTGTGTTGTTTGTCCTTTCCTATTGTTGATGATGACTTGTGTTAATCATCGTTGTTGTTGGACTGTGATCCATTCCTTGATTGAGTATGGTTTCATATCTTCGTTGTGATCCGTTGATTGATTCCTGTTGAGGTGTGGTGTGGTGGTTGTACCTGGATTGCACGATTAGTGGTATGGGACACTAGTCACTAAGGTACGACAGTGGTCCTCGTGGTGGCCATGACGCGATTATGGAGTTTGTGACCTTTGTGTAAGGTTCACGTATTTCTTGGGAGGCTTTTGTTGCCGTGTGTGTTCGGTACCCTCGTGTACTATGAAATCGGTGGTTCTGTTGGAGACCTGTTGGAGAGGGGACGACGGTCCTCGGAGGGATAAGGTTGGACTTGGTGTATAGGGGTCCTGGAGGTAAAGGTTGGAACTAGATATAAGGTTGGGGGTAGCCATAAGGTTGGAACCGGGCATAAGGAAGGCATATCAATTCGTGATGGGTGATGTCACGAAGGCTTGTGTAACCGTTGTTGTGTATTTCTTTATTTGTGACGTGTGATGTCACAAAGGCATGTGTTGCCAATGGTTGTGTCTTTACTCTCTCTTGTGTTATGCATGTCGGGTGTTAATCTACTGTGTGATGGTAGATTATACCTTGAGTTGTTCTTTTGTGTCGTTGTACTTCTTGTGGTCTTGGGATGTGTTCCCGAATGCTAGTGGTGAGTGCATAGAGCCTTGTGTTGACTTCTGCTCTTGGTTTTGAACATATATATATATGTACTCCATTTCGCAAATGATTTTACATACGGATATCATATCTATGTATGATATTTCACATGTATTGGTGGGTTACCAGCATTATTCGCTGACCGGGCGTCGTCCCATCTTTTATGTGTTTCTTTCAGGTGATGTGTAGACGAGAGCGCGGTCTAGAACCTGTTAGTGTAGATCCCTTTGTTTTGAGTTGTTGTGGCCTGTGAGCCAAGGATAGACATTAGTACTCTTGTGTGGTATGGATTTAGATTGTGGATTATGCAGATGTTTAGCCTGTGCGTTCACCTTTGGGTGGGCGTGGCATATCACCCTTTTTATTTCCTGTTTATATAATCCTTGTTTAGTCTTCCGCTGTGTTTGATGTTTTGGTTAGTTATCTGCATGTTTAAGGTTTAATTCTGCATGGAAATTAGGGGGTGTTACACTTATGAGCTCCTTTCAGGTCAGTCTGTTAACTATCATAAGTCTAGTGTCTGTTTTAGCAAGAATACTGGGGAAGATGAGAAAAATGCAGTGGTTGGCATGTTAGGGGTTGTTCAGGCATCGGACTTTGGGAAATATCTCAGTCTCCCATTGTTTGTTGGAAGAAATAAGCGATTGGTTTTTTCTTACATTGAGGAGAAGATTAAGCAAAGAATAGGATCCTGGAATAAGAAGCTTCTGTCTCAAGCTGGCCAGGAAATACTCTTAAAAAGTGTGGCTCAGTCTATGCCTACCTTTTCTATGAGTGTTTTCCTGCTAACTGATTCTTTATGTTTGGCTATTGAAAGATGTATGAATAGGTATTGGTGGTCTAAGGGAGGAGCCAATGGGAGTTCTATCCATTGGATGGACTGGGATAAGCTTTGTAAGCCCAAGGCAGTTGGAGGATTGGGTTTCAAGGACTTGCGTGCTTTTAATTTGGCCATGCTAGGCAAGCAAGCATGGCGTTTCCTCATGATAAGCCTCAAAATATGCTAGTTTTTAGGAACCAATTTAAGGAGTTTTGCGCATGTTTTGATAGGAAAGTCTTGCATTTTAGGGGAAATTGTCCGAAAAGCACGATTTAGTACGGAATTATCTTCCTGATTGCATTTTATATGTTTTTAGGTATTTTTAGACAGAAAACGTGGTAAAAAGGTCGAAAGAAGTAAAGTTGAGAAAAAAGGCGCACACAAGACCACAAAGCCACACCGTGAGGAGGAAGAAAAGGGAATTATTTCCCATTCACGCCTGCCTCACGCGTGAGAGTAGCGTGAGGAAAGCACGGAGCCAGAGCAACAAAGGGAGAAGACTTATTTCTCATTCACGGGAGCCTCACGGCGTGAAGACTCGCGTGAATCCGAAATAAGGATGCCGAACAAAGCCAGACGCAGAAGAGAGTTCAAATCTATTCACGCCGGCCTCACGTCGCGACGCCATGCGTGAATAGGAGGCCGAAGAAAATAGACTTTTTAAGGGCAAAAATTCTGATTTGAGGGGGTGGAACATTTTCTAGTGAGAAGTTTTAGGTTTAGGTTAGTTTACATTTTTGTCTTTCTAGGGTTTTAGCCAAGATCTACTTGTTTTGCAAGGAGGATTGAAGATTTGGAGTAATTTGTAGCTTGGATCTTCATTTCCTACCCGCCATTGAAGAGATCTAGCTTGGATTTGGGTGAAATCTATTCCTTGACTTTTTATTGATTATCTATCTTGTTTCACCTATTTTTTACAATTGCTTGATCTTGATCTTTATAATGTGTGGCTAAAATTCTAGGGGCAAGGATTGTTGTGTAGATTGTATTGCTTGATTTGACTTGTGATTCTTGTTGTTGTTGGCTTAAAATGTCTTGTTGGAAGAGGAATCTCTTGTAACTCTTGTATGTGAGTGCACCACATACTTGTAGGTTTAGGAATAATTATGTCGTCAAGAGATTGAGATATAATCCTAGCCCCTTCTCTTACATTCCATATCCTTCGATCCAAGAGGGCAAGGATCGGGAAGGAATGTAGGCAAGCTGTCCGATGAAATGTCTCATAGAGAATGAGAATTCCTACGAGCGGCGTGTAGACCGAATTGGCTACGCACTAGCAACGCCATTCCTCTCGACTAGTGTCTCAACACTCTTTAATCACTCATACTTCGGTATGGCCACCTGTTTGATATAATCGACACACAATTCGAGCCCGTTTTCACTTCTTTTGTTTCACTTTTTTCTATCCCCCCTTCACTCATTCCTCCTAAACCAATTAATGCACTTCCACAACCAAGAACCTCAAACCCAAACGACCTTACTATAAAATTTACTCGCCACTTTCAAGTTATCACTCCTTGAGTACGACACTCGGGGTGGTTCTCACTCCCCCCATTTTATTCACATTACATCTTAAATTCCTACACGACCCTTGCACATCTAATCTTTTGGCGACGCAATCTAAATGAGAACCGTAACAAAAAGAACCCGACAGATCACTAAGCTAGATTCCCTTGCTGCTCGTGTGTAAAAGGCAAGGTATTTTCCTAAAACCATTTTTTATGCATCTGTAGGAAACAATCCCAGTTACTGTTGGAGGAGTATAATGGCAGCCCATGATGGTGAGTCTACGCTCATCCGGGGCCACTCATGGCTATTGGATGGGGATGCGAAAATTCATACCCCTTTGCCAGTCCAATTACAAGGTGCAAGGGTGTCAGGTTTGATTGATCAGGATACTCATACATGGGATTTATCTATTTTGCATGATATTTTTGACCCAGAGGATGTTAATCGTATTCTAAGGGTGCCTGTGTGTCCAACTTATGAGGACTCTTGGTACGGGCACAAGGAACCCAATGGTTCATATTCTGTGAAGAGTGGTTATAGGTGCATTATGGGTGATTATGATCTATCCCAACAGAGTTTTAATAAATGGCCAGCATTGTGGAAATTAAAAACCCTCCTCGTTGGAAGACCTTTTTGTGAAGAGCTATTAGTGGTATCCTCTCCACCACTACATCCCTCCTTTTTAATAGAGTGGAGATTAGTCCGGCATGCCCAATGTGTGATTTGTTTCATGAAGATTTTTTTTTTTTTTTAACAAACAAACGAACTGATATATTAGATAGCCAACATGTTCGAACCAGCAATACAAGCAACAAAGTAGGGAATACAATCAACAAACTCAACTTTGCCCATCATAGAGTAATCTAAAGATTTCTTGGCAATAGCATGAGCAAGGCCATTTGCCTCCCTCTTGACAAAACGTATGCTTACCAGATGCAGCTGGTTCAACAAAGATTTTATATCTTGAATAACAAGGCCAAAAGGATCATTATTCAAACCTCCAGCAACTGCTGTAGTGACAAGTTTGGCGTCTATTTCAATAACAACTTGAGACCACCCCTTTCCCTTGACCCAGCTCAAAGCCTCTCGCACTCCCACAGCTTCCGCTTCCCGGACAGAAACAGAATAGAGACCTTCCATCGTGTTCCATCCCATGCTCAGTACAGCTCCATCGTGTTTCATGAAGATGTTATGCATTGCCTTATTGATTGTGGTTCTTGAATGCTATGGATTTATTAACATCATATTTTCTTGTTAAAGTGGTTGCAGTCATATACTACCTTTGGAGTGCGAGAAACGAAACCGTCTGGGAGGCGTGCATGCCGCGGCCTTCCCGAGTCTGGCGCTGCGCTGCTGCAGCCGTGGAGAGTTGGAGAGCTACTGCGGAACACGACACCTGCTCAAGCTGGCCAGCAGCAGCTGCTGCCTCAATTGCCCTTCGGAACCCACTGCTATGTCGACTCATCCTTCTTCGCGGATACGGGAAGGGCGACCTTTGGCGCGGTTTTAATCTCGGCCGATGGGCAGTTCGTCAAGGCCACTAGCGGACCACTGCCGTTTTCGGAGTGTGCACTTATGGCGGAAGGCTTAGCCTACAAGGAGGCCTTAGCATGGTTACGGGAAGTGTGGTTGAATCAGTCACAATTCTTACGGATTGTTCGGTCTTGCATCGCTATATCACTGGTACCGAGAGCTCACCTCGTTCGTTTGTTGGCATAATTATTGAGGATTGTAAGGCTATTCTAGCATCTTTAGTTAATTTCTCTTTGTTTTTAGTGTCTAGACATGTTAATTTTATTGCTCATTCTTTAGCGTCTAAAATCATTTCTCAAGCTGGGACTTCGTCCCTCCAGACTTTATTGTCCCTTTTCTGCAGTAATGAATTCACAAAAAAAGTGACCGAATTACACATTTTTTTCTTCTTCAATGACCTAATTGAATTTGCATTTTCAGATTATGTTCCGTGGCCAATGCAAAGCTTATTTCTTTTCTATTTTAAAGAACAAACTTGAATGCATATATGGATATGGAGTTACTCTGTCAAGAAGGGTTGAATTACTCCCTCTGTTATCATCATCTTCGCTTCCAAGCAATTCCTATATATATTTTTCAACCTTTCTTCTATAATATCTAATAAAAGATTAGGGTTTTTGCTTTCCTCTTCTTCTCTCTCAGATCTATTTCCGGCCTTCAAAACTCTTCAATTCGATTGTACGGATAATTTCTCCCCTTCTATATCGCTTGCTTCGTCTTTGTTCCTATGTATTTCTATATGTTTTTTTTTTGGGGGGCTTGATTTGGTTTTTGTATCGTAGCTGCATTGGTATGGTTTGAAGGACGGTCGGTGCATTTCGGGGATTACGCCAGCAATTTGTGTTGATTTTCTGGATTCGGTCGAGTTGAATTGGTTACCGGGTGCCAACGCTTGAATGTGCGCCTTCCATTTTGATTTTTCTTCCACTTGTAAGTTGCATTTGTTTTTACAGATCAGTTTTCGTAAGGTGATCTGTGATTCTTAGGATCTGAATTGTGATGGAGTTTTCGATTCTCTGGACTAGTGAATTGCAAATATTGAAATTGGCTCCGCAACGTCGGTCTCAGCGCCACATGGGTGGCCAGATGCAGCAAAGCAGTGCCGCAGCGACAGCTCTGTACGATCACCCCGGCAATGCTGGCCATGCCGGTGATGCAGGGGACGCCGTCATGGCGCGGTGGCTTCAGTCCGCCGGCTTGCAGCATCTGGCCTCTCCCTTGGCGTCCACTGGTGTCGACCACCGGCTGCTACCTAACCTTCTTATGCAGGTATTGAACTATTGGTCTTAGTTCTAAATTGTCTCTGAATTATTTACATATGGCAATGATTAGCATCAGTTTTCCTTAAATTATGTGGTGGAACTTTATCCTGTTGTAGAATAGGACTTGAGAAATTCCTTTAGTATGATTTTACTTTGGATTGTTTCAACTGTTTCTATGGTGCTGCATTTTGCACTTTGTTCCTCTCAGTGAACCTTCTTCTTGTTATAAATATGTATTGTTGATTTATGGTCAGGTGCATTATGGTTGAAGTAGTAGGGTCATATCTTCCTGCAAAATTATGTTATAGTTTTGGCTGCCTGCAATTTCACAGTGAATCAGTGATTGTAGTTGGGTTATTTTTTTATTTAGTTTTGACACTGTTGCTTTTTGGATTATTAAACCATCATTTATAATATCATTTATGTTTGGTGCATGTTGGCATATTGATAGTTTTGTAGTAATGTTGGACCTTGTGATGCCGTCTCAGGGATATGGAGCACAATCTGTAGAAGAGAAACAGAGACTTCTCAAATTAATGAGAAACCTCAATTTTAATGGTGAATCTGGGTCTGAGCCATATACTCCAACTGCCCAAAGTTCAGGTGCTATTGCAGTGTCAGATGGTTTTTATTCTCCAGAGTTCAGGGGTGATTTTGGAGCTGGACTTTTGGATTTGCATGCTATGGATGACACAGACCTCTTATCTGAGGTATGAAACATGTTTATTTTGGCTGAAAGAACTCAAAGAAGTGTTTAATTTATGGGTAAAAAATATTCACCTCCTACACCCTAAACAGACATTATTTAGAGGGAATCACTTCTGAAGCTATCCTATATTCATAGGTTCCTAAATTGGTCATATTGATAAGGTTGAATGTCTGGTTTCATATTCATGACATTAGGGCATGTGTTACTTCTGACTAATAAGTTGTTTATTTGCTTCTTTAGAATGTGGTTACTGAGCCATTTGAACCCTCACCTTTCATGCCTGCTGTAAACAAAGCATATGATAGTGACTTTGGTGTGCTGAACAGTCAGCAACAAAAGGAACAGATAGATGCACATGCTTCTATTGGGGTGCCTGGAAGTGAAAAAGATAACATTACAAGGGAAAACAATGTGGCAAAGATCAAAGTAGTGGTATGTCAATTCGGTTGCTAAGACCCCTTGTTTGCCTCTATGCGTTGTTTTCCTTGGCAACTTTGTGTTGGAAAATTTATAGAGAAAATGTTGTTCATGAATTATGTGCATGTGATCTAACATTTGTGTGGTTATTTGGAGTTGTGTTGTGTGTAAATAATCACATATAATGTTAGATGATGAATAAGAAGTTATAATCATGAGGTAGTTATTTTATCACGATAAGCTTGTGAAATTGCAAGGGAATTTATCTTCATTGAATAAATCGCTTAACAATTTGATGCTCGAATGTTGGAGTAAAAGAAATGGAGTTAA